ACATCTCCTGCATTGCAAGGCGGATTCTTAACCACTGGACCACCAGGGAAGTCCCTCCAGTAAGCTTGTAAGTGGAAATCGGCAAGTTGATTCTCAAATTCATAAAAGAGACAAATGGCATAGGATGGTCAAAACAACTTTTTAAAAGAGCAAGAATTTGAAGAACTTACGCTCTTGATTTTACAAATCTATAGGAATCAGGTCAAATTGATGGCATTGACAGATGGACAAATAAATCGATGGAATAGAACAGAAAGTCCAGAAATAGACACATGCATAGATGATCAATTTATTTTCAACAAAGATGTCAAGGCATTTCAAATTTCAAAGGTGTCCCCTTCCTAGTTCCTGACATACAGTAATTCACTGTCACCAGAAGCTGGTTGGAGGCAAAGGCAACAATACACATGACCCCATATCTTTGTGGTGTTGGCTGATGCTTTTCAACTTGGTTGCCAGCTCCTGGAGCTCGGGCAGCAGGAAGGGGACACAGACCAGCGGGAGGCATTCGGAGGACCAGGCCTCCAGGAGATATGGAGGGGTGCGGGGTTAGAGGCAGAAGAGAGAGCGCGGATCATCCAGCTTGTTTCCTGGGCAAAACCACCAGGACAAAGAAAACCAAGATGTTGTGATAGCATATTTCTTCTCCAAATTTCATCCTGGTAGAATTACTGGCCAGTAATTACCTAGCAAATTAGAGAATCTACCAGGACCCCAGTTAGGTACCTGAGGACATAAATGGTCCCTAATTAGAAAAAGTTGTCAATTGGGAACAATTATCCCTGTTCTGTTTCATTGCCTCCCCTCCTGGAGCCAGATTTCTCTTCTTCACCTCCCCCATTGGGGCTTCTGTCTACTCTTGCTGTTGGGAGTAGGGAGACGGGGTGGGGGAGGCAGAAGCTCCCATCTATCACGACCACTAGTGCCAGCTCAGGAGGTGTACCAGAGGCCTGCCTTGTGTCCCAGGAGCCCTATGCCCTCACCACCTTGCTTTCTAATGGCCTGTTCACTTGTTTCTTCTCCCACTAAACTATAGGCTCCCTGCAAGCATGGGTTTGTTTTAATTATCTCCCCATCTCCAGATCTAGCTCAGGGCCTGGCTTCCAGAGAAGACACAGAAAAGGTAGTTGAAATGAAATGAAGATTCTGGGCCCCAGGGTGATAGTGCTGAGCATCACCATCTGAGCACAGAGGAGGAGGATGATTGCACGACCTCACTTGCCCAGCCGTAGCCTAGAAACACCCTCCCACCCACATTCTGCAGAGGAAGCCTGGCTGGAGGTGTGTGATGTCATCTCCTGCCTCCTGCTTGCTCTGCAGTTGGAGACATCACTTCAGGTTGAGGGATTAGAGAAAGCTTCATGGAGCATCTAGTGTTTAGTTTGGGGAAATTTGGAGTTAAGAGGAAAAGACAACGGAAGCAGCACACAGGTGAGGAGCTTGGTCTGGCTGAATTATGGGAAGTTTGCAAGAAGGAAGGAAGGGAGGAAGGGAGAGAGAGAGAAAGGAAGGCGGCTGGGGTTGCAAGAAACCTTGAAAAACCACGAGGGAGTGTGGGCTTCATCCCATAAGCCTTGGGAAAGGATCCAGCAATGACATTCCCAGAAGCTGAGTCCAGAGTTGATGCTCATGAGGGAACCAAAAGGAGAAAGATGAGGGGGAGGCCTGAGGCGGGGCAAGGGGATGACACAGACACGAGAGGAAGGTGACTGTCCCGGGCAGGGATGACCCCAACAACTCCAATCAGTGAAGACAAGCGGGAGTGGGGAGTCGATCAAACTAAATGCCTCAACTTGTGTCCTAGCAATTTTCCTTTTAGGAATTTACCCTAAAGAAATTATTCAGCATATACATGAAGATCTTGTGCTTCATGATATCTATCACAGTATTATTTAAAATAGTATTAACAAGAGAAGGGGAAACATTATGCTAAATAAGAGAAGCCAGTTGCAGAAGACCATGTCTTGTCTGGGCTCATGTGTATGAAATGTCCAAGCTGGCATATCTGGAGAGACAGAAAGCAGATTAGTGGTTGCCTAGGGCTGGGTTTGGGGATGGAGGGTGGATTAGGGGGTGACCACTAATGGGTACAGGGCTCTGTTTTGGGGAGATATAAATATTCTAAAATTACATTATAGTGATGATCAGACAGCTCTGGTCATCTCTACTAAAACCCATTGCATTGTACATTTAAAATGAATGAACTTTATGGTTTATACATTTACCTCAGTAAAGCTGATCAAATTCTTAAACAGGGCAGGAAGCTGCTGTGTACTATAAGGAAAGCGGCTTCTGCCTGCAGCCGTGGTCAGCTCTGGACTCCACAGAAAATCAGGCTGCCCTACCTTAGGAGTGGTACCCCTCTGGAAGAGAGTAGGATGAGGTGGCAGGGGATGGGGGAGACTCAGGGAAACAGCTGGCTGGTAGCTGAGGGTAAGAAGACGACTCGCTGAATGTGATGCTCCGAAGACAACTGTGCTCTCAAGTCCATCCCTTGTGGACAGCCAAGCAGCTGGGGCCCCACCACCAAGCTCTACCTACAGCCTCTGCCTGCCTGCAGGAGGGGACCCAGGATTGCTCTGCACCCAGCCACCAGGCCAGGTCCTGGCTGAGATACAGAGGAAGGTGGGATGTTCAGGAAGAGGGCAGAGGAGAGAAAAGCAAGAAGAAAAGAACCTGACAGTCCTGGGGTTGAATCCCAGATCCTCCACTTAATTGACTGTGTGACCTTGAGCAAGTTTCTTCACCTCTCTGGGTCCAGTTTCTTCACCTTTCTCAAGGGAGAGCAGCTGACGTTACCAGCTTTAGCAGGTGTGGAGAATGGGGTTCCATGCCTTAAGGAGCTGTGCAGGGGTATCATCACTCACCAGGGGGAACAAGTCCTGGTAATGGGGGAGCCTCTTGGAGCCCCCATATCTCCATGACAGAGCCAGCGAAGGTGGGGCCAGGGGTCGATAAAATCACTGATCCCAGAACTTGAGGAAGAACAACAAGAGGAAGAGGGGCTCAACCCGAGGTCTCTCCTTGCATCCATTCCCCCACCCCTGCTCCCACCTTCCATTCCAAAAGCTTCCAGCATGAGCGTCTTACGAGCTTCTCTGAAGAAGGGACTAATTAAACCTTAATTGACATAGCACTAATTAGCTTCTTAATTACATGGAACCACATGATTAGCCACTCAGCAGACACTAATTGCTCATTAGGAAGCAGCCTCCCTCTCTCCCCCTTCCCTTTTCTAGAACCTACCAGCTAAGGCACCTGACGGGCTCATAGTAGGCGGTGCCCCTCGACCCCAGCCCAGCTCAGCTTCTGAGCCCATCTTGATGGTGGCGGGGTGGGCAGGGGGCACAGCTGGATGAGTTCATGCTGCCCTGACCTGAAGTCAAGTGCCATCTCATGAAAATAATCTAAATATAACAACTTGTATCATTTTGAGCATCTCAGATTCAGGAGCCTGCAGCCTTCCTCTTTCAAACCCCTGCCCTGAATCAGGATAGAACTGTGGGCTCTGGAGCCCTGAATTTCAGCCTTCTTGGGGTGAAGGGAGCCCAGGGCAGGCCCAGCTTGAAGGGCAAGAGGACAGGGAGCCAGCCTCTGACACCCAACAGGACAGGTATTTTCCAGACGGGGAGACTGAGGCGCCACGAGAGTGAGAAATGTACCAGGGGTTCACACAGCAAGTAAGTGACAGAACCAGACTCAAACCCGGGTCTGTCTCCAGAGCCAAGCTTCTTTCTACTAGTCCAGCTGCCTCCTGCAGAATTTTCAGATTTCATGACGTGCAGAATCGGGACCTGGAAGGAAGGGGACTTGCCCCTCCCCAGGGAGCCATCTGCCTCCATCGACACAACTTAAACTTCTCTGTAAGCCAGGAGCAGGGACTCGGAGGACAGGGAGGGGCCGCCTGGCTTCAGATCCCAGCTCTTCCTAAGTTGTGTGGCTTTGGGTGAGTTACCCTTGACCTCTCTGTGTCTCAGCTTTCTCCTCCATAAAACAGGGATCACAGTACCACCCCCAACCCCCAAGGCTTCCTAGAGGATTAGGTGAGCTGGTGCCTGAAAAGTGCCCAGAGGAGTATCTGCCTTGCAAAGCCAGTGCTTTATAAGCACGACAGTCACTAACTTCTGTAATGGAGGTTGGTGGTACCTCCAGGAGAGGATCTGGGATTTGGGGTCCACTACCCCTCCTTCCTACCTCTCAGATTTCCTCTCTACTGTCGAGCCTCAGAAACTACTCCCAATAGCTCGGAAGTCACCTCTCCCTCCTGAGAGTCTGCCCCCACCTGGGATATGTCTCCTCTGCCCCGGACTGTGCTGGCTCCTGAGGGCCCAGAGGTGGTCAGGCCTGCGGGCTGCTGGGTGCACACAGATGTCCTGGCACATCCCAGCAGAGGTGTGGGCAGGAAGGGGACCAACATCACTTGCAGATCCAGTGACCACACATCCTGCTTCTCCCAAGAAAGGCCTACTTTTCTCCAATCGTACCAATGTCATTATTCACAGGACCCCCTTCTACTCTCTGTCTGTTTGTTTGGGTTGCTCTGGGTCTTCACTGCTACACGTGGGCTTTCTCCAGTTGCGGTGCACAGGCATGTGGGATCTTCCCAGATCAGGGATCAAACCTGTGTCCCCTGCATTGGTAGGCAGACTCTTAACCACTGGGCCCCCAGGGAAGTCCTCCCTCCACCCCCCACACTCTTAAATGGTGCTGATTTGGACAACAGAAGACATGATCCCACAACATACACACCCTCCTCTGCCTACCATGGGCCAGGTGCTATCCACACCAGTGGGTGGGAGACAGTGCTCACCCACCCCAGGGCATCTCCAAACTAGGGGGTTGGACTGTGACCATCCTCTCCTCTGACACAAGGGAAAAAATGATATAGGTGGAGGGCTTCCCCAAATTCTTACCACCGGAAGGGGAGGAGTTGAGGTGCTAACCCACAGCTGGGGGGCTGTTTCTTCCATGCTCCTTCCCGGCGTTGGCAAGGGGGCACCATGAAAGACGGTGATGTGGAGGACCAGCGGTATACGTGGGGAGTGTGGCTGGGCACGCTGGGATTTAGAAAAAGGGGTGAAAGCAACTCAGTGTCGGGAGTAAAGGCTGCTGGGGGCAGGCATTGGAGGGCAGCGGGCAGGTGGCTGAGTGGATTGGGATCAGGGGAGAGGGAGGACCCTGTAGAGGGCAGGGGACAGGGGCTTAGTTCAACTATCCAGAGAGCTGCCCTAGTGGATGAGGTGTATCCCTTTATTCATGTTCTGCCATTGGCCTGAGGACTTGAGACGCAGATACAGTGTAGATGAGCCCCAAAGTGCCTGAACTGAGATCTTTGTGGAGGACGGAGCACTTGCGTTAGCTGGGTATCCAAAAAGGTACTGCAAATGGCAAGAGCTTGTGCAAACAGTGAAAAATACATCTCTGGTCTCTTCAAGGATGATGAGTGGACCAGCCTGCCAGGCCCTGGGATGCTTTTATACCCGTGAGGCCAAAAGGGATATTGTGGCCCATCTGGGGAGAACCTTGGGGGCCTTGGTGAACATTTTTCTTTTAATGTGTGTGCTTAGTTGTGTCCGACTCTTTGCAGCCCCGTGGACTGTAGCCTTCTAGGCTCCTCTGTCCATGGAATTTTGCAGGCAAGAATACTGGAGTGGTTGCTACTTCCTACTCCAGGGGATCTTCCCGAACCAGGGATCAAACCTGTGTCTCTTGTGTCTCCTGCATTGGCAAGCGAGTTCTTTTCCACTAGCGCCACCTGGAAAGCAACCCCTCCCTTTTTTTTTATACAGCATACTTTATTTCTTTTTAACTTTTTTAAAGGTCTTTTTTTTAATGTGGACCATTTTTTAAGTCCTTATTGAATTTGTTACAATATTGTTTCTGTTTTTTGGAGGGGGCATTGTTTTGTCTGCAAGGCATGAGGGATCTTAGCTCCCCTGCCAGGGATCAAACCCACATCCCCTGAATTGGAACGCAAAGTTTTAACCACTTGACAGCCAGGGAAGTCCCCTGGTGAGCATTTATTCCTTATGGAGGAGTCCAAGGGAACCAGCCCCTGGGGTGTGGCCATGCTGGCTTCAGGACTAGGGATAGAGATTTGCTCACTGCCCCTCACAGCCTCCTCTGCTCCTTCTTGCCCTCCTTGGTCCCCTTCTGGTCCCTTTCCAGGGAGGCAGGCCTGGTCTCCAGGGAGGGGATTCTCAGGATGACCCACCCCTTCCCGATCTGGTCCTTGGTGGGGGGAGGAGGAAAAGGTGAAGATGTTCCAGCATCTTTGGGCAGTGCCAGTCACCCCACCCCTACCAGGTCCCTGGTGTCCCTGCAAGAGGCTAGAGAAGCAGCAATTAGGTCAGAAACCCCCTCCAGATGCTTCTCCCCTCCCTCATTATCTGGAAACTGTTACAGTGTGTTGAGGAAAGACCCCAGGGTGTTTTCCCATCTGTTGCTCTATTTCTGACACATGCTGCTCCCCACCTGTAATTCCCAGGCCCTCCTCTCCTCTTGCCTCTCGGCTTCCTGACCTTGGACAAGTTACCTAGTCTCTCTGGGCCCTTTTCTCCTCATTCATAATGTGGACATGACTGTACCCACCTCCTGGGGGTCACAGAAGACTCAAGGGGTTAATTCATACCACGGTTTAGTGCAGTACCCAGAACAGAGTAGGTGCTCAATAAACAGTGGCTACAGTTCTTCTCAAGGGCCAGTTCAAAGCTCTATTCCTCCAGCCAGCCCTCCCTGACCACCTCAGGCTTAAGGGGGGGACTGTTTTCTGCCTTGCACTGCCCACCCCTCAGTACCTCTCACATCCTGATCTGCATCCTTTGTTGCTGATACACATCTTGTTCCCACATTTATTGGGGTCTTTCATGTGCCAGTCGTGGTGGAGAGGTCTGACAGAATGTGCCACTGGAGAAGGGAATGGCAAACCACTGCAGTATTCTTGCCTTGAGAACCCCATGAACTGTATGAAAAGGCAAAAAGATAGGATACTGAAAGATGAACTGTCAGTAGGTGCCCAATATGCTACTGGAGATCAGTGGAGAAATAACTCCAGAAAGAATGAAGGGATGGAGCCAAAGCAAAAACAACACCCAGTTGTGGATGGGACTGGTGATAGAAGCAAGATTCGATGCTGTAAAGAGCAATATTGCATAGGAACCTGGAATGTTAGGTCCATGAATTAAGGCAAATTGGAAGTGGTCAAACAGGAGATGGCAAGAGTGAACATCAACATTCCAGGAATCAGCTAACTAAAATGGACTGGAATGGGTGAATTTAACTCAGATGACCATTATATCTACTACTGTGGGCAGGAATCCCTTAGAAGAAATGGAGTAGCCATCATAGTCAACAGAAGAGTCTGAAATGCAGTACTTGGATGCAATCTCAAAAACAACAGAATGATCTCTCTTCATTTCCAAGGCAAACCATTCAGTATCACAGTAATCCAAGTCTATGCCCCGACCAGGAACGCTGAAGAAGCTGAAGTTGAATGGTTCTATGAAGACCTACAAGACCTGCTAGAACTAACACCCAAAAAAGATGTCCCTTTCATTATAGGGGACTGGAGTGCAAAAGTAGGAAGTCAAGAAACACCTGGAGTAACAGGCAAATTTGGCCTTGGAGTACAGAATGAAGCAGGACAAAGGCTAATAGAGTTCTGCCAAGAGAACGCACTGGTCATAGCAAACACCCTCTTCCAACAACACAAGAGAAGACTCTACACATGGACATCACCAGATGGTCAACACCGAAATCAGATTGATTATATCCTTTGCAGCCAAAGATAGAGAAGCTCTATACAATCAGCAAAAACAAGACCGGGAGCTGACTGTGGTTCAGATCATGAACTCTTTATTGCCAAATTCAGACTTAAATTAAAGAAAGTGGGGAAAACCACTGGACCATTCAGATATGATCTAAATCAAATCCCTTATGACTATACAGTGGAAGTGAGAAATAGATTTAAGGGACTAGATCTGACAGACAGAGTGCCTGATGAACTATGGATGGAGGTTCATGACATTGTACAGGAGACAGGGATCAAGACCATCCCCAAGGAAAAGAAATTCAAAAAAGCAAAATGGCTATCTGAGGAGGCCTTACAAATAGCTGTGAAAAGAAGAGAAGCAAAAAGCAAAGGAGAAAAGGAAAGATATATCCATTTGAATGCAGAGTTCCAAAGAATAGTAAGGAGAGATAAGAAAGCCTTCCTCAGAGATCACTGCAAAGAAATAGAGGAAAACAATAGAATGGGAAAGACTAGAGATCTCTTCAAGAAAATTAGAGATACCAAGGGAACATTTCATGCAAAGATGGGCTCAATAAAGGACAGAAATGGTATGGACCTAACAGAAGCAGAAGATATTAAGAAGAGGTGGCAAGAATACACAGAAAAACTATACAAAAAACATCTTCACGATACAGATAATCATGAAGGTGTGCTCACTCCCACTCACCTAGAGCCAGACATCCTGGAGTGTGAAGTCAGGTGGGCCTTAGGAAGCATCACTACAAACAAAGCTAGTGGAGGCGATGGAATTCCAGTTGAGCTATTTCAAATCCTAAAAGATGATGCTGTGAAAGTGCTGCACTCAATATGCCAGCCAATTTGGAAAACTCAGCAGTGGCCACATGACTGGGAAAGGTCAGTTTTCATTCCAATCCCAAAGAAAGGTAATGCCAAAGAATGCTCAAACTACCGCACAATTGTACTCATCTTATACGCTAGTAAAGTAATTCTCAAAATTCTCCAAGCCAGACTTCAGCAATATGTGAACTGAACTTCCAGATGTTCAAGCTGGTTTTAGAAAAGGCAGAGGAACCAGAGATCAAATTGCCAACATCCACTGGATCATCGAAAAAGCAAGAGAGTTCCAGGAAAAACATCTATGTCTGCTTTATTAACTATGTCAAAGCCTTTGACTGTGTGGATCACAATAAACTGTGGAAAATTCTGAAAGAGATGGGAATACCAGACCACTTGACCTGCCTCTTAAGAAACCTATATGCAGGTCAGGAAGCAACAGTTAGAACTGGACATGGAACAACAGACTGGTTCCAAATAGGAAAAGCAGTACATCCAGGCTGTATATTGTCACCCTGCTTATTTAACTTCTATGCAGAGTACATCATGAGAAATGTGGGGCTGGAAGAAGCACAAGCTTGAACCAAGATTGCCGGGAGAAATATCAATAACCTCAGATATGCAGATGACACCACCCTTATGGCAGAAAGTGAAGAAGAATTAAAGAGTTTCTTGATGAAAGTGAAAGAGAAGAATGAAAAAGTTGGCTTAAAGCTCAACATTCAGAAAACTAAGATCATGGCATTCGGTCCCATCACTTCATGGCAAATAGATGGGGAAACAGTGGCTGATTTTATTTTTCTGGGCTCCAAAATCACTGCGGATGGTGATTGCAGCCATGAAATTAAAAGACGCTTGCTCTTTGGAAAAAAAGTTATGACCAACCTAGACAGCATATTAAAAAGCAGAGACATTACTTTGCCAAAAAAGGTCCATCTAGTCAAGGCTATGGTTTTTCCAGCAGTCAAGTATGGATGTGAGAGTTGGACTATAAAGAAAGCTGAACACAGAAGAATTGATGCTTTTGAACTGTGGTGTTGGAGAAGACTCTTGAGAGTCCCTTGGACTGCAAGGAGATCCAACCAGTCCATCCTAAAGGAGATCAGTCCTGAGTGTTCATTGGAGGGACTGATGTTGAAGCTGAAACTCCAATACTTTGGCCACCTGATGTGAAGAGCTGACATTTGAAAAGACCCTGATGGTGGGAAAGATTGAGGGCAGGAGGAGAAGGGGACGACAGAGGATGAGATGGTTGGATGGCATCACCAACACAATGGACATGGGTTTGGGTGGACTCCGGGAGTTGGTGATGGACAGGGAGGCCTGGCGTACTGGGGTTCATGGGGTCACAAAGAATCAGACACAACTTAGCAACTGAACTGAACTGAACTAAGAGGCTACTGCTGCTATGTCGCTTCAGTCGTGTCCAACTCTGTGCGACCCCACAGACGGCAGCCCACCAGGCTTCCCCATCCCTGGGATTCTCCAGGCAAGAGTACTGGAGTGGGTTGCCATTTCCTTCTCCAATGAAGTAAAGTGAAAAGTGAAAGTGAAGTCGCTCACTCGTGTCCGACTCTTTGCGACCCCATGGACTGCACCCTACCAGGCTCCTCTGTCCATGGGATTTTCCAGGCAAGAGTACTGGAGTGGGGTGCCATCACCTTCTCGGAAGAGTTTACTAGTCAATGGTAAAAATATACCACCTTTAAGAAATAAGGGGTTGATGGGAATGTGAATGGAATGTCCACGTGCCAGGCACTAAGAGCTTTACACCTGTTAACTCATTTAGCCCTCATAACACCCCCATCCCATTTTACAGAGGCAGAAAACAAGACACAGAGAGGTGAAGTAACTTACCCAACCTCACACAACAAGGAAAGTGATGGACCCAGACCAAGATCCCAGGCAGTCAAAGTTCGAAGTCCATGCTTTCACCCTCTACCATAAACAGGTTGATAGACATTTGCCCAGGGTGGGGTGTGGGGGGCTAGGATATACACATGACACGAAACCATAGGCTTTGTGGGGTTTCCAATTTCACTGCTACGCACCTGTGGTCTACCCCAGGGCTGTGCCTGTGTGGTCATTGCATGTGGATCATGTCTGTGCAGAAATGTGTCTAAAGGCCGCATGTCACACGCTCGAACAACTCAGATACCATGTGTTCAGAATGTGTGTGCACCCACTGTGTATTTATGCAGCGGTGTTGTAGGAGCACACATCACACACCTTTGTGTAGCTGTCATTACGCCTTGACAAAAGCTAACTATTCCGGAGGGACATAGGACTTATTTCCCCTTTATTAGAAAGTGAGGTGCAGATCTGAAGCAGCTGCATGACTGGCAGCCTACAGGCCCAAGGAGTGTGAACACTATATGATGCAAGCACATACGCACATGTGTGTAACTGTGTGTGTGTGTGTGTGCTAAGTACACCCACATGCCTGTGTGTCAACAGTACCCGGGTGAATGCCCACACAGGGCATTGGTAGCTGTATTTGGGTGCATAGAGGTTATATGTGACCTGTGTGTGATAAACACAAGTGCACGTACAGGCGTGTATGTGTCCGTAGGCGGAGAACTATATAGGCAGGCACACTCAAGACGACACGTGGTGGGTGCCAGGACCGCACAGTGAGACCTGACTTCCACTCCGGCCTCTGCCTCGGTCTGCGGTGCGACCTTGGACGCACTGCCTCGTCTCCTGAGGCTCAGCGTGTGCATCATAAACTGGGGCGAGTGCAGAAGATGAGAGGGAATAGAGCCGCGGCACCCTAGGCGCCCAGCGCATGCGCACTACTTGAGGAGCCACTATTCGTGTGCACACAGACGTGTGCACCACGAGGGTGTGTACATGGAGCCGTGTGTGCTCCCAGGGTGTGGCGTGTCGGGGGTGGGAGTGGGTGAACACGGGTGTGTGTGCAGGTGCTGTTCACACTGCGGGTGTGTTCCCAGGCTGTAGGGGACACAGTCGTGGAAGTGTGTGCGCGCGCTGTTGCACAGTGCGTGCATGGGGCTGGAGGGGTGGCTGGGCCCCAGGCCCCTGGTTTGCGGAGAGGATGGAGTTGGGGGCTCTGGCGGGGAGGAGGCGGGTATCTCGGCTGTCAGGCCCGCGGTGGGTGGGGGCACCCGGGGCGGCGGTGATGGAGCCCCCGCTCTCCCGCCAGGCCTGCCAAAATACAGCGAGACAGGGTGTAATTACCGGCACTTACCGCGGCCATTACCCCCCTCGCCGCCGCGCGTGACACACGACCCGTCAGCTCGGCGTTTGTACCATTAAGGGGCCTCATTAGCATCCCGGCTCAGAAGCAAAATTACCCTCACTGCTCATTTCAAGATGTCATCAATTTTAATTTAGGGCCCAAAGATAGTACAATGGGAAGGCCCTCCCGGCCAGCCGCGCACGGAAAGTGGGGGGAGGGCGGGGGAGGGGCGGGGGCAGCCAGGGCCGAGGTGGGGGGAGGGCGGAGGGGGCGCGGGGCGCAGCGAGGCGGGAAGGGAGGCGCTGGTCTCCCCCGGCCCGAGAGGTCCCCAGGCTAGGGCCGCCGGGGGCCGCCCCCCTGGGGAGGAAACAGGATTGCGGGCACAACCAGGGCCCACCCACCCCCCAAGGGTCGCCTGGAAGTTAAGTCTGGAGCCAGACGGTAGCGAGATGCTGTGCCTGGCTTTTCCCTTCGGTTATTCCTTTAAGGAACGTGGGAAAACTCCGGGGTGGGCTGCAGTCCGTGGGTTCGCAGAGTGGGACACGACTGGGCGACTGAATGACAATTCCTTTAATTCCCACAACCTTGGGTGGTAGCGACGGCAGTCCCTTAACTGAAGGGAGGAGACAGAAAAGTCGTTCCTCCACCCCCACCCCGCCCCGTCACCTCGCGACCCCCATCTGCCTTAACCCAGCAAGCCGTGGCGGAGACCGCATTTCAACATGGGCCCATTTGGTTCCGAGGCGACCTGCCCCTGGACCCAGAACCTGTGCTCATGGAACGGCCTTCCAGTCAGTGCCTGGGCCCCCCCAGCCGGCCTGGTCTACAAGTGGCCTTCTCCATTTGTGCCCAGAATACCCCCTCCTTCTCCTTGTCAGCCAAGTCCCTCGTGATTCAGGTTAATGTCACCCCTGTCTTCCTGTCGCCCCCTCGCTGAATCATCTTGGCTGTTCACCTGTCTGTTTCCTCACCCCCACCTGTTTGGGGATTGGCTACCAGGGAGTAGGGACTGTCCCTTATTCCCCTGGGGCATCCCCGGTACCCCGCGCAGAGCCAGCTGTGAGAGGTGCTCGGGGTTTGCTGAGGGAATGGACAATTACTGTCTCCTAGCCATCCTGCCCTCCGGTGGAGTCTGGAGGCGAGAACTGTCATCTAGGTGGAAGGGGACCACGGAGGTCTCCCCAGCCCACCCTCCATCGGTCAGATGAGCACCTGAGGCTCAAGATGGGGTAGGCATGGCCTGGAGAAGGACTATTTCAGTCTGTCCATGATGGCTCAAAGTGGATATGCTGCCAAAAATGATAGGGGGAAAAAAAAAGAGTGGGTATGCCCCAAATGTTTGTTGAGTGACTGAATGATTGAACACATGGATAAATGCACAAGTGGGTGAGGAGCTGCTCTCCCTGGGGCGCTTTTGGGTCCCTCCAGGGACAGAAATCTTAGTTATTTCCTCTGCGGGCCTCACACTCACTTGACCTATCAGCACTCCTGGGACATTTACATTGTATAAGCAGAGCCTGGGCACATGTGATGCCCTGAAAGTGCCTCTTTCTTCTAAAAGGGGAACTACCCCAGGCCAGGGGAGATTTTCCAGAAGGCCTGGTGTGGGAGGTGGGGGAATCTTCTTGTTATTTCCAGCTGGCTCCACCACCCCAGGCTGTGTTAACCCATGGTGAGGTTTAGGCCCATTCTCTGAACCCACTGGGCCTTGGTTTCTCCCAAGTGTAAAGAAGGAGGCTGTAACTCATGCCTCAGCTTCTCAGGTCATGGCGTGAGGCTCAGCGGCAAGCAGCAGGAATACGGCTGGGCTGAGGGCATAGGGCACCGCCAATCACCCCACGTGCCCTGGTCAGACCCAGTCCTGCCTGCCTCCCCTGCTGCCTTCAGCCCCCCAGCTCCCTGGACAGAGCCGGAGCGAGAGGAGAGGGAAGGGCCCCCGTCCTGAGCCCGGAGACTGGGTCCTCGCTGGCGGCAGGCGCCGCTCCCCGGCCTCACAGAAGACGGATCGCTCCCTTAATCACTCTGGAAAAGAACCCCAAGCCGATATAATATTATAATTAATTAATTCACTAAAAAGGTATTAAATTTCTCTCCCCCCTGTGGATATTATCTGAATTCATTGACCTTTAGAAAAATCACCCTCTAATTGTAACCAGGTCCAAAAGCATTTGCAGCCCGTCCCTTTTACATTAATAATATCTTCCCGGACTCGGATCTGGCTGCTTAAATATTGTATAAATTCCACTGCCCCCCTCGGAAAAGAGAGAGCAAAGAAAAAAGATGAGGCTGGAGGAGCCCAAGAGGTGGATGGGGGCTGGACCCCGAGAGGCTAAGATCTCATGAAGTGAGGGGCAAGGGGTGAATTGAAGGGGCTCTTTCTAGCTGCTTCAGGTGGCATGGAAGGAACCCAGGCTTTGAGATGGGGAGAAAGGCATGGGTTGGGAACAAGAGGGTTGAATTCAGGGTTCGTTTTTTAGGAGGCTGGGGCAGGGAAGATCCATAGTATATATCAGACTCTCATCCAAGCCAGTGGCTCCAAACAGTGAAGAACCTCTGATTTAAAGGACCAGTGGGTGATGGAAAGAGAAATTCCAAAGAACATTCTGAGCTCCATCTTCTTACCCCACTCAGGATCCCCCCTCCCACCTGCTGCAGGCTTCACTCCACTTCTGACTTCCCAGACAGCCCTGTTCTACAGATGATAGGCCAGGCCTCGAAGGAGAGATGCTGTGGGATGTCCAAGACTTCCTCATGCTGAGGAGGTGGGGACTAAGGAGCTGAGAGCCAGCACGAGGCCTCGCCCATTCTCAGCAGGGCCCGGAGTCCACTCTTGGCTTCCTGTCTGAATGGGTAGGGAGATGCTCCGCGGATGGCAGGGGTGGAAAGCCACCTTCCTGTGTATACAGCGTGATGAGTATGTCTGTCCTGCTCCTTGTCCTCAGATCCCGGCTCCCTCCCGGTACAGGAGATGGGAAGCTGGCAGCTAGCAGGGAAGGCCAAGCAGATGGAGGGAGTGGAGCGGAGGATGGCAAGACTCTCGCCCAGTGCACCTGCTTGGCTTTGGGGCTCCACGGGGGACCCACAGGAGCTGCAGCTGCTCATCCTCCCCTGACCTGGCTTGGAGCCCTACCCAGACACCACTGCCTTTTCACATTTTTGTTTGCTCTCTAGTCGCTGAGGGCTTCCTCTGTGAAATGAGGGGGTTCAATGGGTCCATCTCTGCTTTCACACAAGTCCTCACCTCCTCCACCTGTTTACAGTTTCCCCCCTCATGGACCTGACGTCTGGAAAGGTGTTGTGTACCACGTAAAGAGTGTGGATGAAGACAGCACCCTCTTCTTAGTTAATCAGAGATGTTCATAACCTGCAGTCAGAAACTGTTGGCCGACTCCATTCCAGCTACTAGCTAAGGGTCGCACAGACCAGTCTCAGATACGTGAACACTTTCTGGTGGCTTGCTGAAATTCTGGAGGTACTCTGTGTCTGCTGAAATCAAAGGTAGGATTGTAGCTTGAAAAGCACAAGCAAGCGGAGACCGCTCACCTTCTGGCCACGGCCCACGCCTGGCTCTGAGCGCCCTCTTGTGGGCAGAACCCACACCCACACCCTCAGTACTGCCCGTTGGGCCGTCCAGACCCTGCTTCCCAAGCTGCAGGTGGTGGCCAGGCTGAAGGAAACTGGGGGCAGGAAGCCGGCAGGCAGGTGAAGATACCATGGTCTTGAGGGGCTGCTTGAAGAAGTGGGAGGGCAGCTCTCTACTCCCGAGTCAGTCCCCAGGGTGAAAAGAGAGAACAGATTGGGGGAGGAGAGAGCCTCAATGGCCTGAGGAGGGCCTTGGAAGGTTTCCACAGCCCCCACGCCTCCCCCAGCCAGAGCTCAGGACCTGCCTCAGGAGAAAGGCTCCCAGGCCCTGGGCAGGTCCCGGCTGTGGGGTGGGGCCTGGAACGGAAGGAGGTGCCGGCGCTTCTGCGGGCTCCAACTCACAAAGTCATCCACAGCTCCATCTGACCTTGAGATTAATCCCCGGCCTGGCCGTCATCAGCACCCACACGCCTGGCCCCCTTTCCACCTCTCCCTCACACGTTAATTGCTCCAACGTTGATTTGATCTCCCATTCTGCAAGGAGGAAATTGCCCTCTTAGCCATTTTCATCCCGGGATTTTTTTTTTTTTTAATTAGGCCCCGTTGTCCTCACAGGGCCCCAAGGGGGGGAAGCCATTTTGGTCTTTGCCTGAAGAGACTGTGGGAAGTCGGGAGAGAGAGACGGGCAAAGCCTGGTAAAGACGCTCTCCTCCCTCCCCACAGACACCCTGGGCTCAAGAGGCACACCCCCTCACCCCTCTCTGCCCCAAGCCCATTTTCCCCACCCTGAGTGAGGTCATAAAGTCCCAGGATCTTGGAGCAGAGGCCCCCCGGAAACTATTGTGGGGTGAGGGAGACTTTAGCCCAGAGGAAAGAGTTTGGGGGGTCTCACTGCCTGAGGGTGCCGGAGCAGTACCTTCGCCCTGGTTCCACCCGGCCTCCTATGGTCCCACCTCCTCCCAAACTGTAGTTCACACGCGTCCCTCTTTCCCTTAACCCACAGGGCAGAGCCCCTTATAACCTAGGGAGCTTGTCCTGGGCCTTGCCCCCACAGAGCAGGCAGCCCACCTATGGAGAGGAGAGAACTGGGGGTGGGGACAGGAGAAACATGCCCACAGTGCCCAGGAGCAGTAGACTTGGTTTCCAAGCAACGGGGTCTCCCAGTCACCCGGCTCGGCCAACTCAAGCCTCAGCTGCAGGTGTGAGACCGGCGGGGCGGCAGCGCCACCTTGTGGCCACGGGGAGGGACACAGCCCCCAGCAGCACCCAAGTCTAGCTTCCGAGGGGGCCCTGCTAGAGAGCTGGGGAGTTCCAGGCGATGGTCTCAGTCCCTTCTGTCTGTATCTCCCATCGCGGATCCCCTTCGGGGGCATTGGAACTGTGAGCCCATTGGGTTGACTCCTTCCCAGTTCTGTTGGCCCCCAGACCACCCGCAAAGAGACAGGACAAGCCAGTACAAAGCACAGTGTTTACTAAAGGCACAAAGTGGGGAAACTCGAGGGGAGCTGCTCTTCCAGCAGTGACCCCACATTCTAGCTTGAACCCAGCGCCCCCTCTTCTGGCCACCCCCGCCCTCACACCACCGGGAGGAGAGCTGTTAGCACCAAAGGGGGGTGGGGGGCCCCACCTGTGGGTGGGGGAGTGCCAGAAAGGCAGGCCTGGGCACCCCTGGACCAGTCCATGCCTCCGAGAAGGAACTTCTGGACCCCTGGCTCCAATGGGTCCTCCTTCACTGGTGGGGGGGCCAGGCACGAAGGTAAGATGTCTTCTTACCCCGAGCACACTCTGTCCCCCTCTGCGGCACCCCCTCACCTTGCCCTCGTGATTTCATCTCTGGGAGGGGCCGGGGTGCAGGCCTATTCCTGCCCGGCCCGGTGAAGAGGGCTGCCCCCAGGGGGCAGGGGGCTTCCAACCCACGGGCTGCCAAGCGGGCTCTATGTCCACACGGGGTGGGGGGGCCAACAGGAGGAGTGAGGCCGGGCAGGGGCTCCTTCACACACAAGTGCCGCCTGAAGGGTGGGGGGGGCGGTGGTCCTGGCCCTCCCAGCCCCCAGGCCCGCCCCTGTCGCCCAGGTCACAGCACGTCGCCCTCCTCCATGCTGAAGCTGCTCCTGCGGCTGCTGGCCTTGGAGGCCTCAGGGGACATGGTGGAAAAGAGGGGGTCGGAGGCCAGCGGGAGCAAGGAGTCGTCTAGGAGCATGAGGTCCAGATCTTTCTTGGACAGGTCGGGGAACGGGGAGGCATGCTCTGGCCCCAGAGGTTCGGGGTAGCCCGGGGGCCCTTCGTTGCCCCCGCCCCCAAAGCTCAGGTTGTGGCTGAAGTCCAGGTGGTGGAATGGGGACGGTGGCTGGGGCGGCTGGGCTGGAGGGGGCAGCGGGGCCTGGGGGGGCAGAGCTGGCAGTGGCTCGGGGTCGGGGACCTCGGCCCCCAATAGCAGGGCCTCCCCCGGGCCCTCCTCACTGGGCAGCTCCTGCTTCACCACCTGCTGGGCCAGCTCGGCCATGTTCATGCCGGAGGGCGAGGTGGTGGGCAGGCCGTGCACCCGAGCCTGCATCTCCAGCTCCTGCGGGCAGGACAGACAGAGGCTGGAGGCGCCCACCCCTGGGAACCTGCTGCCACCCACCCCAGCCCCCGCTGCTGCCCTTGACCCTCCCTTTGTGACACCCAAGACGGCAAAATATCTCAGCTGGGAGCAAGTATAGGGCAGCTCTAGAGTCTTCACCAGCGTGTTTTCCAGCTACAAGTCGCAACTCATTAGTGGGTTGGGAAACCACTACAGTTGAGTCTTGACCAGCTCTCTTTCTATTTTTTTTTTTAATTGAAATAGACTTGCCTAGACTAGACTAGACTAGAAATTATCAGAATGCATTACATCTATTAAGGATGAGGGTTCTTTCATGAAACTTTGATTTTTTTTTTTTCACTTAGAGCTGACTATGTGTGCTGGATTGCAATGTGAATCGTATTATCTACCATAAGAAATAGAAAATCTTTGAAGCTGCAGTCCAATCGCCCTTTATATAGGTGACCAGTGTCAGGCCCAAAGAAGACAAAAGGCCTTCAACAACAGAGCCAGGACTAGGTGGCTCTAGGTGGTAGCATACTTTCCCAAGCCTTTGTTCTTTCTCTTGCTCACTGTGGGCACTCCCTGCCAAGTAATTCCAGCTCTCTTGCCCCCCTTGGGGGGGCAAGCACATGCATCAATGCAAGCACGTGCATTGATCAAGGAAATGTGAGCAGAAGGGGCCCTAAGAGTGACATGGGACAGCTCTAGATGTGCCTGTCCACCAGCCTGGATCCTAAAATGAGAGTCTTGCAGAGCAGACCCTCCAGCTGACATCTGCTGCTTAAAGTTGCTGGGGATTGTTTGTTACCCAACAATAACATCCTGATACGTCCTCCCTCCCCATGGGGATCATCCCTCCATCTCCAATTGCAGAAGTGTAAGCACTGCCCCTGGGGTCAGGACTCAGGCCAGAGGTCAGGAGTCAGAGCTACCCAAGAGGACCAGGTGCAAGGCCCAGACCTGGATACGGAGCCAGAGCTGCTTGTTGGTCATCTCCAGGCGCCGAGAATGGTTCTCCAGCTCCCGGGACTTCTGCAAGTCCTTCTGCATCCTCCGGATGTAGTCGACAGAGGCCTTGAGGATGGTGCCCTTGTTCCAGCGCACGTCCCTGCAGGCCAGGCAGAATCAGAGGCTCATGCTCAGAGGAGGGGGCAAGGATTTGCCAGGAGCTTCGTGGGTGGACGTAAAACCCTGCTGTGGTTTCAGAGTTGATGTCGCCTGTCCCAACTTTGCCCCAAGCCCCAGACCTGACCAACCCCTATTTACAGAGGAGGCCAATCTCCATCTGCAAATGGGCCCTCCCAAGTGACTGTGGTGCCACCACCCACCTCGTTAATCCCAAGTGAAAGGGTTAGTAGCTCAGACTCTTTGCGACCCCATGGACTGTAGCCTGCCAGGCATCTCTGTCCATGGGATTTCCCAGGCAAGAACACTGGAGTGGGTAGCTGTTCCCTTCTCCAGGTGATCTTCCCGACCCAGGGAGGGAACACATTCTCCTGCATTGGAATCCCAGGAACCAGGCAATTCAGAGCAGCCTCCTTCCCCAGGCCTCCCATTTCTGCCACCAAAACCCACACCTGTTCTCGGCCCTCACAACTCCTGTCCCCAGACCACCTCTGCACCAGTCTGGTGGCCTCAGCAAACTTTCCTAGCATGACTCTTCCTCCAGGAAGCCCCCCTGACCCCACCCTTACTTCTGGGACCTGGACTCCTCCTTCCTGTCTTGAGCCTTTCTTAGTTGGGAGATGGAAGGTTCTTCTTTTCCCAAACATGATAAGATCTTTAAGAAGCAAAAGGAGATTTTCTTCCCATCCCTTCCCCCTGGCAACCAGCAGATAATACCTGTGAGCTGCTGCCCTCCCCTCCCCTTCCTCCAGGAAATCCACTCACAAGTCATTGGCCTTAGGGATCAGCATGCCCAGCTCCTTGATGCGGTCATTGATGTTGAACCTCCGTCGCCTCTCAACTAGAAGTAACAAATTTCAGGGGAAACAATTAGGGAGATGAGGACCCCACCTGGGGAGAAGGGTCCAGCCCAAGGAGGGATGCCTTAGTCCTTCTGGGAAGGAACAGATGACCACTACATGGGCGAAGAGCCAACTCATTGCAAAGACCCTGGGAAAGACTGAGAGCAGAGGAGAAGGGGACGACAGAGGACAAGATTGTTGGATGGCATCTCTGACTCAATGGACATGAGTTTGAGCAAGCTCTGGGTGATGGTGAAGGACAGGGAAGCCTGGCGTGCTGCAGGCCATGGGGTCTCAGAGTCGGACACGACTGAGCAACTGAATCACCACCCCCACAGCCAAATAGGGTGGCTGTGGGGGTGGGGGGTTGGGGGCAGGCCAGACATGATTAAGGAGGGGAAGACCTAGCAGACAAGGCTGCCTGGAGACGCCTCTCTCCACTGCTCAGAACCTCCACGCCCTAAAGAAAACAGTCTGATAAACTCATTCCCTCTGAAGTTCTGGGAATTTCATGAATATCTCTTCCCTGGAGCGCCTCTCTCCCCTACCTCCTAGCAAGGACTGGTGGGAAGAGACTGAATCCAGTCACGCCAATGCCAGGATTTTAAGGCCTCATGTAAGGAATCCTTCCTAGAAGCTGCAGGTCAGAGAGTAGCTTTGGAGCCAGCCCAGGTGAGAGGAAGAAGAGGGGCAGGGGAGACTCACTGAGGTTGTGATTGTCTTTCTTCTGCCGCTCTTTGGCCAGGGCCCGGCTCTCAGCATCTGGAGAACAGGAGAGGAGAGCTGGGAGGGGAGGCGCTGGGGAGACCCAGCCGGGATGGGGGGCACGCCGCTGGGAGGCAGCGGGGCGGTACCTGTGAGTTCACGCTTCTGCGTCAGGTCGGCTGGGCAGGAGCTGCTGGTGACGCCCACCAGGGAGGCGGTGACCTGGGGGTCCCCACTGTACACATTCAGGTGACTGCTGGACAGGGGCAGCTGCAGGAAGAGGTGGGGAAGAAGGCTCGGTGAGCGGGCCCCGTTCTGTGGGGCGGTGTCCCCAGGGCCCATCGCCCCAGCAACAGCAATTCCCCGGGACAGCCGGGGAGGCCGCACTGGGGTCAGAGCCCAGGCAGAGTCCAGAGCTGAAGAAGAAGCGGCCCCTGCCCTCAGCGAGCAGCCAGCCAGTGCTGCCGGAAAGCGGCAGGAGGGGAGATAGGGCCTGTGGAAGCCGGGGGAGGGGGGGGCACCTAATCTGGAGTTTCTGGAAGGTTTCCAGAGGGAGTGGTGAGGAAGGGCACTGCAGGCTGGGGGTGGCTGAGCAGAGAAGCCAGCCAGGAGGAGCTGCTGGAGTGCAAAGCGTGAGGTGGGCGATGCTGGGGGACCCGGGAGGGCAGCTTCCACTTGCAGAGACCCTGGCGCTTGGCGACAGGCAGCCACTGAGGGGTTAAATGGGGGCCCCACAGGAACAGATCTGAGCTCTGGAAAGATCTCCCACCACACGTGCACGAAAAGCAAAATCACAGGCCCAGAACCCTGCAGGGTACAGGGGGAACCACTGACAGAGCCAGACGCTGTGCCCTGCCCTCTCTCCTCCGAGCCCTCCATGGCCCGCTGGCAGCAGCAGGCTTCCCATCCTGCTGAGCCACTGGGCACTGGTCCCAGGGTGGCAGTCATGGAGGACTGACTCCCTGACTCCCCACAGTGTCGAGGGCCGGGGCCCCAAGGGCGGGAGTGAGCAGCTAAGGTTCATGGAACTCCAAAACAAGGGGAGAAGATGCCCCAGTCTCACCTGCTCAGTGTAAATACCTGCCCCCCGTTGCACAGAGCTCGCCCCCAGTGTCTGGCCTTATCTAATTTGCCCACCATCCTGTGGGCAGAAGGCACCATCCCCAGGGGTTCAGAACAGTTAAGGGACTTCCCAGGTCACAGCCAAAGACAGCTGTCTAGATTCTAAGCCTGGCCCTTCCCACCCACCCCGGGACCTGTGGGGGAAGCCTGGACCATGAATGCGGCTAAGAGGCTGCTAGAGGCAGGGGACCAAGCAGGCCGGATAGCACTTCCCCCTCAGAGGGAGGGGCACAGGCCTGTGCTCACTGGCCCCAGGCTTAGTAGAGGTGTGTGCGTGTGTGTGAGTGGCTCAGTCGTGTCCAACTCTTCGGGAACCCATGGATTGTGGCCCACCAGGCTCCTCTGTCCATGGGATTCTCCAGGCAAGAATACTGGAGTGGGTAGCCATTCCCTTCTCCAGGGCATTTTCACAACCCAGGGATGGAACTCAGGTCTCCTGCATCACAGGCATATTCTTTACCGTCTGAGCCGCCAGCCAAGCCCTTGGTCGAGGAGTGAAAGTCACTCAGTCGTGTCTGATTCTTTGCAACCCCATGGGCTATATGGTCCATGGAATTCTCCAGACCAGAATACTGGAGTGGGTAGCTAGCTTTTCCCTTCTCCAGGGGATCTTCCCAGCCCAGGAATTGAACCCAGGTCTCCTGCGTTGCAGGCGGATTCTTTACCAGGTAGAGGAGAGGAGCCCCATATCCCAAAGGAACTCATCTGCTCCAGGCCTTCCTGGAGCCACACTGCTCCCCTCAGCACCAGTGCCTGCCCCCCTGCCCCCATCCTAACTCGGGCAGCCTTCCCCAGACACCCCTCCCCGCTGAAGCCCCACCATGCACACAGGCTAAGGGACATGTCTCTGGATGCACAATTCTGCCGGGCCTGGCCCTCGTCACATGGTTGGGTGGAGGTGACTCTCATCTCTGCAGCGAGACACCATCTCCGCCCAGGTGACGACCCTGTCTCTAGTTGTCTCCTGGGTCACAGCTCTTGGGGGGCCTCTGCCCCTCCCCCTAACACACCCGCCCCGCCCTGGCCAGCAGTACCGTGTTGGGCATCTGAGTTTCAGGATTGATGAAGCCCAGGACATCGTCCAGACACATAATGTTGTCAATGACATCAAACTGAAACAGAAAAAAAAAAAAGTCCCTTTGTGGGAGAAGGCACTTGGAGAAAGGCAGAGGGGAAGGGGCACTGGACAGCCACTGACCTGAGGGACCCTGGAGCCCACACCCCACCACTCATCTGGGGATAAGGCGACAGGCCCAGAGAGACGATGCGCTGTCCGGGTTCCCCCGGCCCCAAGGCCCAGGTTAGGGCTCTTCCTAGGGAGCCAGGTTGCCCAGGGAGATTGCTTTATACCTTCTGTCAGGACATGGCTTTGCAGGTGTGCTGGGCATTCCGTTATGAGTCTCTTGTTTCTTCCTAGCAGAGCTTTCTGAACTAGGGATGATGTTTCTCCTGGGAGACTGGGGCTCCCTGAGGGCAGGGCTGTGTCCCCTCAGACTGGGGCTCCCTGAGGGCAGGGCTGTGTCCCCTCAGACTGGGGCTCCCTGAGGGAAGGGCTGTGTCTCCCCTCAGACCGGGGCTCCCTGAGGGCAGTGCCTTGCCTCTGCCGTTAGACTAGGCGCCTCGGGAGCACAGCACGGGGCCCCAGCTCCGCGGGTGGCAGGCACGGGCCAGCTCCTCACTCACCTCCCGCTCAGGGTTGGAGCCGATGTGCAGCATGGCCATGGGGCTGTTGGGGGCACTGTTGCCGGCTGAGGATGACAACACGTGTGCGGGCCGCACGCCTGGGGAGGCGGCTGGCAGGGGCTTTGGGGAGCCCTGGGCGGGGCTGATGTGGGCGGCAAACTTGTTCCCGTAGGTCTCAGACAAGTACTCGCGCACCTTCTGGTCCCGGGACTGCTGCAGGTGGTAGGAGGTGGGGTTCTCCAGGTAGGACTGCACCTGGGAGAGGGGGGAGGAGGCAAAAGGCTGGAGCTCCGAGGGACTGGGGCAGGGGGTGGAGGGGACCGGCCCGAGCCCCAGGCCTCACCTTCAGCACCTCCCCGGGCACTGGCGGGGGAGACTGGAAGTGGACGGGGGTGTTGATGGCTGGGGTGGGCGGCCCCCCCAGCTGCTGCTGCTGCTGCTGCTGCTGCTGCATGTAATGCATGACGGCCTGCTGCTGCATGCGCTCCCGCTGCTCCTCCTGCTGTGCCTGCTCCCGCATGAGCTGCATGCGGAGCCCGATCCGCGACGCCATGGCAGCTGCCGGCTCCCTGCGGACAGGAACGGGCAGGGCAGTGAGGCGGGGGGCCCTGCAACTTACACGGGGTCTCGGGACTTCCCTGGCGGTCCAGGGCTGAGGACTCCGAGCTTCCGCTGCAGGGGGCCTGGGTTCAATCCATGGTCTGGGAACTGTGTTCAGTCGCTTCAGTCGTGTCTGAGTCCGTGTGACCCCATGGACTGTACCCCACCAGGCTCCTTTGTCCATGGGGATTCTCCAGGTAAGCATACTGGAGTGGGTTGCCATGCCCTCCTCCAGGGGATCTTTCCAACCCAGGGATCGAACCCATGTCTCTAACATCTCCTGTGACTTCCCTGGTAGTCCAGTGCTTAGGACTCCACGCTTCCACCGCAGGGCTCCCGGGTTCAATCCCTGGTCTGGGAACTAAGATCCCGCAGACTGCACGTGTGGCCAAACACAAACACAAAACAACAACAAAAACAAGCCAAACAGACTGCAGGGGCTCGTGGGGAAAAGACCAGGACAAAGGTGACCACATTTCACAGGAGCGGGAGGCAGGCACGGGAGATCTGCTCAAGGTCACTGAGCAAGTGGATGGAAAAGCTGAGACTTAAATCCAAGTCTGCTGGTTTCTTGGGCCAGAGATTCGTCCATGCTCCCCTCATTTGTTCTAGTAGGTCAGCCCCCCAAACTTGGAGTCAGTCTTGACCCCTTTCTCTCTCTCATGCCACGTGGTAAGCCTGCCAGATATGACCTCAGATACATCCTCCTCTGCTCCCTCCTCGCTGCCCCCAGGGTGGGCCCAGGCTCTGCCATGCCTTACCTGGCTTCCTGGCGGCGTCTCCTAACCTCCTGCTGGCCACACGACATTCTACTTGCAACTCGATAATTAGAGGGATCCTGTTACAACCTAAGTTAGAGACTGTCTCTCTTTCGGCTCAGAACACTCCTTGGTTCCCATTTCTCTCCACGTAAAAGCCAAAGTCCTTCCCATAAAAAGCCCTCACTGATCTGTCCCCACCTGATGGTCTCTGGTGACCCCATCAACCTCCTATGCTCCTCCCTGTTCCACCTGTTCCAGCCACACCTAATGCCTCAAACACACCAGGCATGTTTCCTGCCTCAGGGCCTTTGCACCTGCGCTTCCCACTGCCTGGGGTGCCCATCCTCCGATGCCACCATGGCTCCCTCCTTCACCCCCACCGCTCAAGCGTGTCACCTCCTACCCTAATATTTAACACTGCAAAACCAGCACCCCCACCCCCGACTCTATGCCCCTTCCCTGTTGTATGTTTCTCCATGGCACTTATCACCATCTTAAATATTACGCATTTTTGCTTAGTTATTTCAAATCATCCTCTATCTCTCTCTCAGCAGGAATGCAAACTCCCCCCAGGGCAGGCATTTTGTCTGTCTTGTTCAGTGCTGTGCCTCAGGCCTCTACAAATGTATACAGGGAATGTTTACTATTTATGAACCAGCACTGAGCCAGCTGTAGGCCCTGAGATCATGGCATCTACAGTCCAGCAAGTGAGAAAGGCAAGTCCCTGGGTCCCTGTAACCCTGCACAGAGACGGGCGCTTCGGGGCACCTCGTCCTCCCTGGGCGCAGCAAGGGCACTTGGTAAACTGAGTAGGTAAGTGGTGGATCAGCACACGACTGGCGGGTCAGCTGCAGTGTAGACCAGAGGCCAGAGCCGCACCTCAAGGTCCTCAGAAGGAGACCCAGGCCTCGGGGGGTGACAAAGGAAAGCAGTACAGGCTGACATGTTCTGCTGAGTGCCAGACATCAGACTACGTTGGCATTAGAGGAAGGTCCTGGTAAATACAGGCTTCCCAGGTGGCGCTAGTGGTAAAGAACCCACCTGCCAATGCAGGAGACATGGGTTCGATCCCTGTGTTGGGAAGATGCCCTGGAGAAGGAAATGGCACCCCACTCCGGTATTCTTGCCTGGAAAATTCCGTAGGCAGAGGAGCCTGGCGGGCTGCAACCCATGGGGCCGCAAAGAGTCAGAGACAACGGAGCGACTGAGCACACACTGGCAAATATTCAGTGAAAATCACCAGATCAGGGAACTGATAATAATCTGCATCCTATCTGAGTATTCACTGTGTGCTGGGCAGGGTTCCAGACACTTTCACCTCAAACAGCCCCCTCTGGTAGCTCTGGTTATTATTCTGCTCCTACAGATGAGGAGAGACAGTGGCACAGGGAGGCTAAGTATGCTGCAGCGGGAACAGAGCCGGGACCCAATGCCAGTCTGGCCCCCCAGCCCGTTGTGTGTTGGGGTGGGGGTTCTGCAGACCATCATGTCTCCGTGTAGAGCTGGGAAGCTGTTTGTCCCAGGTTGCATGTCTGGTTGATCCAGGGCCAGGAATGGAGCCCCAGCCACCTGACCCCAGGCCAGGGCTCCGTCTAACCACCCTGCAGCCTGCCCTATAATGTGGAGAGGCTCCGTCCACCTTGAGGGCTGAGTAGTCAGTGGCCATTACCTCATCTCCCTTCCTTGATTTTCTGCCCCCTTAGGCTAGGAATTCCTGAAGAGGCTGCCTCAGCCCCAGGGGTCTCTGGCCAGCTCCCAACAGGACAGTCACCATGGAGAAAGGGGCAGACACCCCCCTTCTCCACCCTCCTCCGTCCTGTAGCAGGGACACAGCCGTCCTGTGCTCCCACAGAGGGGTGGCCTGTCTTTGGGCCTCCTCCCCAACTATAGCCTTGCAGACCTCATGGGCTCTGACCCCGGCCCACTCCCCTCACAGCTGCACCCCTGCCTGCTCACACAAGCAGTGAGCAGGAACAATCTGACTTCAGTTGGCCCCAGCGGGCGGCGAGGCGATGCAGACACTGGGCCTGGCAGTGCCAGCCGGCCCCGGGGGGACTTGGGGAGAACAAGCCCCTTGTTTCTCTGACAAAGGGCTGGGTGAGAACCTGGGCTCGGGCCCCGGCTAAGCCTCTCACTGGCTGTGCCAGCCTCAGTTTGCTCATTTGTAAAATGGACGCAGGAAACCCTGCCCGCTCCCCTCCACCCGGACTCACATGGGGTCTGAGAGAGCCTCAGGGAGAGGATGCTGAATTGCAAACCGCAAGGTGTCTGCATATCAGAGGCTGTCCAACGCCATAGCCTGTCCCCTGTCCTCGGACAGAGGATGGCTCCCCCACCTCCACCCCCACTGCCAAAGCTGTCACCACCACCACCCCTGCCCCCCACCCCCCCAGAGCTGCTGCCACTCGCTGAGTCCCAGCTCCGTCCTCTGCTCACTCCACCTCCCTGCCTGGGTTGCTCTGGGTGTGGTGTGGCTCGGTGGGATGGGTGTTGAGCTTAGGGTGGGACTTGAAGGGTGAGGGAATCCAAGGGCAGACAGGGTGGTCCCGGAGAGGGCACAGATGGTAGTGGCTCTCATTGCCTCCAGGCTCTCCTCCCCAGCAAGCCCCAAAGCACACTTGCTCACTCAGCGCCTAAGGGCCACTCACAGCCTCCCTGGTGCCCAGTCTGGTCAGGAGGGGCTGAGAGGAGGGACACGGGAAGTCCAAAATGCCCCAGACCCTCCCCAACATCTGACCACAGACCTGCCAGGCCTGGAAAGGCTCCACCGTGCGTAACCCGGTAACACCGGGAGCCTGCCGCTAAGCTGTGTCCGTGTTCTAGTTTAGTTGTGACCAAAATGGGCTTCTCCGTCCAACAGAGGCAGCCAAAGTGCCTGCTCTGCCCGTACTGGCTGGGTGATGTCGGGAAAGCCACTCAACCTTGGTTTCTTCCCTGGGGAAAATGGAGCCAGTGATGGCAGCTGCCTCATGGGCTTGTTGTGAGGATTCTAGGAGACACGGCGAGTGTGCAGAGCTCACCTCACAGCCCTGTGTGCATCAGTCGCTCAGTCGTGTCTGACTCTTTGTGACCCCATGGACTGCAGCCCGCCAGGCTCCTCTGTCCATGGGGTTCTCCAGGCAAGAATCCTGGAGTGGGGTGCCATTTCCTTCTTCAGGCTAACAGCCCTTAGGCATTCGATAGTGGGTGCATCCTGGCTCCTCTCTGAAGCAGTGCTCTTCTCTGGTCGGGGCCAGAGGTGGTTTCACACCAGCCTGTGTGGGGTCTCGCTTGTCAGTCATTTACACCTTAGTATGAACAGCTGGTCAGAACCTTTCCCAAGGAAGGATGTGGACAGAGGGAGGGGAAAGATGGGGAGAGATCAGTGAGGAGAGGCAAGTAGAAAGAGGGTCCCAAGACAGGAAGGTCTCGGGTATTAGGAAGAAGATCTCAAAGACACAGCGTTGAGCGGACAAATCGAACTGCAGAATAAAATGTACAGCCAGAGCCCGCTGAGGCAGGAAATAAATAAATGTGTAGAAAAGACTGGAAGAATCAGGATGCTTCCTGAATGCCTACTAATGGTCAGGGCTATGCTAGGTGCTTTTCAAATATTAACTCATCTGTTCTTCACAACAACCCGAGTTAGTGACTACTAGTATTGCCCTCAATTTCCAGGGAGAAACTGAGGCGCAGAAAGGTGAAGTCACTGGTCCAAAGTCACATATCTGATAAGTAGCAAGACGGCGATTTGAACCAGGCAGCCTGATTCACAGCCGCTATTCTTTATGCACTCATCTGGGCCCCCAACATCCAAACTGTTCGCTGTGGTTACCTCCGGGGAAGAGCAGTGGGGTGGGAGGGGCAAAGAGGGGTTCTTAGAGTTTCTCATCCCACTTTCGAAGCAGTTAACTTTTAGGATTATGAAGACGTGCTACTTGTACGATTCTTGTGTGTGTGTGTGTGTGTGTGTGTGTGTGGTCGCACCACGAGGCATGCAGGATCCCAAGTCCCTGACCAGGGGTCAAACTCGCCCACTTAGCCGTGGAAGCACAGATTTCTAACCACTGGACCACCAAGGAAGTCTCTGTTGTGATTCTTTAAAAACAAGGGGAAAGGGAGTAAGGCAGCTTCTAGGGGTTTGTGAGGAGCCCCACCGGCTTCCAATCATGTCCAAAGGTGGGATTCCCCAGGTCCACCTGGAATCTGGCCCAAGCCCTGCCTT